CCTCCTCCTGCTCCTCCTCCTCCTCTTCCTCCTTGTGTTCCTCCTCCTCCTTCTCCTCCTCCTCCTCCATCTCCTCCTTCTCGTCTTCCTCCTCGTCTTCCTCCTCCTCCTCCTTGTCCTCCTCCTCCTCCTCGTCCTCCTCCTCCTCCCCTCGTCCTCCTCCTCCTCCTCCTCCCCCTCCTCCTCAAGGGAGGCTTCCGACCTCCATGCCTCCCCCTGGGGGGCTCCGAAGGGGGTCCAGTCAGGCCAGACGGGGGTCGGGGACACGACACCCCACTCGACCACGCCCCTGCAGGCCGAAAACGGGGTGCAACGGAGTCGGGGATCTGCTAACCCGGGTCAATCAGACCCGGGTCAGCAGGAAACCAAAAACTATAATGCAATCCGGGTCAGCCAATATGAGCGGCCGCCTCGCGGCCACGCGGCTCGCTAACCCAGATCAGCCAGAGGGGGTCTTCGCAGGATCCTGCAGGATGCGGTGCCCTGGCTGACCCCCGTTTGCACTGACCCCCGTCTTGTAAGCTCCGACGGAGGAGGCTGGAGCAAACCTCGGGTGTTGCCAAAGGTGTCCCTGGCCCAACCCAGACATCCGACGTCGCGATCTTTTGCGAGAAATGCGCCCCCAACCTCTCGACCACTTCCCCGGGACCGGCTTTTCATCCTGGGTCGTTGTTTGACGGCCCCGAGGCCCGGCAGGGGCCCCGAAAGGCCGAACACCACGAAAGACCCCCGCCTCGACTCTTGTCCCAGGACGCCCGATATACAGAAACATGTCCCCGAGATGTCCGGGAAAGGCCCGGCGGACCTGCGGAGCACTCTCCCCGCGCGGCCCAGGGGCGGCCCGCCAGGGCCCAGACGCCTGGCGGGGAAAGCCTGGGACACTTGAGTCTGCAGGGGCCCAGCGGCACACAGATATATAGGCACAAATCCCTGGATTACCCAATTTCCCACATAGATGTTTATAGATATAGATGTAGATATAGATATAGATATATATGTATACATATAAACATACATACAGATATACATGCATACATGCATGCATGCATACATACATGCATGCATGCATACATACATACATACATACATACATACATACATACATGCATGTATGCATGCATGCATGCATGCATGCATGCATCCATTCATCCATCAATCCATCCATCCATCCATCCATACATGCATGCATGCATGCATGCATACATACATACATACACACACAAAGACATACATACATACATACATACATACGTACATACATACATACATACATGCATGCATACAAACATACATACATACATGCATGCATGCATACATACATACAGACAGGCAGACATATACATACATACATACATACATACATACATACATACATATATACATACATACATACATACATGCATGCATGCATACATACATGCATGCATGCATACATACATACATACATGCATACATGCATACACACACACACATACATACCTACCTACCTACCTACCTACCGACCTACCTACATACATACATACATACATACATACATACATACATACACACACAGACATACATACATACATACATACATACATACATGCATGCATGCATACATACAACAATGAAGAAATAGATAATATCTATATTATATGTATATACGTGTGTATAAATGTGTCGGTTTATATGTGTATGTGTATGTGTGTATACTGGATGCTCGTCTTCCCCGCCACGTCCAATGTGTATGTTCCATCTTTCCCTGGGCATAGACGATCCTTTGTGCCTGTGCGCTGTCCCCCTCGTGGAAGTCGGCGGGTGCAACCCAGCCGGAGCAGGTGCTCCGGCGTGCCGCCGCCGCCGCCGCCAGGCCTCCCCGCCGCCCGGGCTCCGCCGCCTGCCCGCCCTCCTCGATCGAGGCTCGAGGCTCGAGGATCGAGGAGGAGCGAGGAGGCTCGAGGAGGAGGAGCGAGGAAGAGGAACGAGGAGGAGGAACGAGGAGGATCGAGGATCTTTTTTGGGGGGGGGTCAAGGGCGCAAAAGACAGCGCGCGCTGCGGCCCCACCGAGGGCGCTGCCTAGGCCTGGATTCACGAGCACGCCACACGGCTCAGGTGTGGCACCCTGGCGAGAGACGGCCGCCGCTTCGGCGCGCCTCTCCTTCGCGGCAATCCGGGCCCGCAAGGCTGCCATGCGGTCGGCCGCGGGGGCGGCCTCGCTGGCCTGCGGCTGCGGCGGGCGGCGAGCCAGCCAGTCGGCCAGGAGCTGCTCGCCGCGGGCTGCCGCCAGTCGCTCGGCGACTCTGGCCTTCTTGGCCCTTTCCTGGCGCCAGACCGTAGCCGCAGGCGACGCGGCGGCTGCACGCGGCGGCTGCCGGCCTGCCGAGCGCGCCGCCAGCCGAGTCCTGGGCGGCGCCCGGCGCGGCGCGCGGCGGCCAGGCCCTCGCCGCCTCGTCGCCGAGCTCGCAGGCGCTCCCCGCAGGCGCGGCCTTGCGCTTGCAGCCGCGTGTGCGCCGCGACCGCTCCGCCTCGGAGTCCCTCACGTACTGCCGCTTGGCCCCGGGGTCCACGGGCGCCAGGATGTCGAGAGGGCACCGGTTCGCGTACGCGGTGGCCCGCCCGATCCACAGAGCGGCCTCCCGGAGGCGCGCGGCAGCGTCGCGGACCATCTGGACCTGGGCCCGGGGCAACGCATCGCGGCGGGCGATCTGCTTCGCCAGATCGTCCACGAGGTCGTTGCCAGCGACGTCGTGGGCCTGCACGGGCTTGCCGTTGCTCATATACTTGCCGACGTAGCTGGTGGCAGTGTTATGAGCTGGCATCCGCGCCACCCGGTCTGACTCGGTCTCAAGAGCCGCCGAGATCGGCCCCCACGCTCTGGCCAGGGTCTGGCAGGGGGCGGTGGCCCAGCGCGCGTCCCGCTTCGCTCCGAGCTGCACAACGGGACAATCCACCTTCAAGGAGGAAGCCGGGTCAAACGACTGGACAGCCATGAGCAAGCCCCACAATTCCGTGGCGTGAATGCCGACCGCCCACAGCGGGGCGCGGCCATGCGCCGCCGCCACGAGGTCGCGGTTGCCGTCGCACGCGGCTATTGCCCAACCCTGGCGGGCGCACAGGTCGTGGAGGTCAGCCCCCCCGTCCAGCCTGGAGCCGTCAACGCACGCATCAACCTGCGCGGCCAGCGGGCCTGGCCGGACCACCCATTCGAAGGACTCTTGCTCGGGCGGCGGGCCCAGGGCAGAGGCAGGAGACGGCGCGACGCCTCGCGTGAGCAGGGCTAGGTCGGCAGGGCTCAGCGCCAGGGTGCCCTCGGGGCCCGTGTGCTGGCGGACCAGCTCTTGAATCCACGCGGGGGCCGTTTTCTGCCGGCAGGGCCCCGTGGCCGGACACGCGAGGACGCGGTGCGCCAGATGCCCAGTGAATCTCGGATCATCGGCCTGCGGGTCGCACAACCCCGCGCGCACGCACAACCTGCAGTTGGCGGCGCTGGCGAGGCCTGCTCGGTGCAGCCTCGCTTGTGGCCACTGCCGGTTCGCGAAGGCTGAACGCAAGGCGCCCTTTTCAGAGGGGCCCCAGTTGTCGCCACCCCTCCCGTTCAGAAGCTTGAAGATAGGCTGCACGAAGAGCCCGTGCCCTCCAGGCCCGCGGGCGACGCGAGGACGCTGCCGCTCGACACGTCGCCACCGCCAGCGCCAGACAGACTGCTGCACAAAACGCCGGGCCATGGCCGGCGAATCCCTGGTGAAATCAACGTGCTGGCCCCGGTCGGTGCGCACCTCGGCATATGAAAGTATCTGCCAGCCGAGCCGCAGGGCCGACGCCACGAAGGCTGCGGCGGGGCCTCACACCATGGCCCAAGGCGACGGCCGGTCCACCAGGACTGCGAGAGCAGCGGACACGAGTTTGCTCGAGGCAGGCCTGGGCAGCCAGCCTTCCCACACAGCCTCGGCCCACTTGGTGATGGGGGCCTCGCGAGCGGCGAACGCCGGATCTGCCTCGCCGCACATGCCGCCGTCGGCGAGGATCAGGGCGAGGTCCAGCTCGCCGCTGCCGCCCAGCACTGAGGCAGCAGCGACTGCAACGCGTTGGGACTGGAGCATGGCGTTGGGGGCGCCCGCGTTGGCCTGCCCGTGCACGAGGGCCGCTGCGCCACCTGTCCGGAGCACCGCGGCCGCCCTGCGAGCCCCGATCCAGCGGCGCAGCTTTTGGACCTGGGGACTCCGCACTTTGAATGCCCGGAGCCGCTTCGCCAGTAGAGCGGCGTGCCGGACACGTGAGCAAATGGCGCCCCCGAGCGACTTGGCGTTGTCCACGACCTTCAGCCTCAGCCCAGGTAGCTGGTCCACGATGCGGAAGGCCAACTCCCGGCGCGAGGCGAGCACCATGTTCTTCGTGGGACTCACCTCCATGCCGATCTCCACGAGGCGCTCGGCGAAGTGCCTCACGGCACCAACCACGGTGTCGCAGACCATCCGGTCCGAGCCGGATGCCTCGAAGGACACGTCGTCGACGTAGACCGTGATCACGATGCACCGATACAGCGCAACCGTCTCGTCTAACCACTCGACGAGGAGAAGCAAGAGCTCGATGGTGGCGTGCACGGCCCCGGCTGTGATCCCGCGCGTGGCCAGCAGCAGCACCGAGCAGACGCCATCAATAGCGATGCACCGGGCGAGGCGGTATGCGGCGATGCTGAGCCTCAGGACGGCCATGGGGCAGCTGTACCGCGCGCCCAGCTTCGCAAGCCAGTGGTGGGAGACCCGCTCGAAGGCCTTCACCATGTCGAGCATCGCACTGGCGTGGCTGAGGAGAAAGGAAGTACAGTGCGCCAGCTCCGCCCTGGCGGCCTGCTTCCACGCGGCCACCTCTGCGCCCCTCCGGGGGCCAGCGTAAAAGAAGGGGCGATCGTAGGCGGACTGCCACGCCCGCACCACGTCCAGCCTGGCGCGCATCCACCACCGAATGACCGAATGACGCTGGGCAGCAGGCCAATCGGGCGGCGGCCCCCATCGGGCTTGGGTAACAAGCAAATGAGGACGAACCCAGTGGAGGTAGGCCAAGTCCCGAGCAGCTCACACATGATGAAAAGCCTGATCAATGAACAAATTGCGCCGTCCGCGCACCGGCAGACTGCCCGGGGGCGCAGCTTGTCCCAGCCGAGGCCTGTGCCTGCGGAGAAGGCGCAGGCGGCCGTCTGCAGCGCAGTGGCCGCGAGCTGTGGCAACGGGGCCCGATCATGCCAATCGCTCGGCCATGGGATGCCACCAGGCGGCCCATCACAAGCCCATTCAGTGCTCCACTTGCGTGCCTCGGCGTCCACCTCGGCCTGCAACGATAAAGGGCGCGGCGAGTAGCAGGTCTCGCAAACATCAAGCTGACGCTGGGAAATGGAGTCGTCGTCGGCAGCCTCGCTGAGAGCATCCTCATAGGGCTCGCCATTCGAGATTGGGCTTGGGACCCAGCCTGAGGCAACCCGCGACAGGCGGTGGTGCCTGCCCAGGCTACTCTTGCAGGGGCCGTCACACAGCCAGCTCGCCCAGCGTCGGACTGCTGGATGTCGTAGGCCATGGTGCGCCTCGAAATGAGGTCCGCCGTAGAACGCAACCAGTTCACGCGAACTCTGTCCTGCCAACCCTGGCTGGCGGCCACGCGCACCCAGCGGCGAAAAGCAGCGGCGTGCACGCCATCGCCCAAGTACTCCCACGAGTACGCCAAGAAGAGCCACTGGACCCGGCGCGCTCGAGCAACCACCTGGGCAGACGCCCCAGCACCGAGAGATTGGGCGATGTCGGTGAGCCACCCTGCCACGGTCTTCCACGCCACTGCGATGGCGGAGAGCCGCCTGCAGCCGGAGCCGGGGCGGCCGAGAGCACTCCGGACCACGAATCGCGGGCCCTCGGCTCTCGTGCAGAAATTCGCGCGCTCTTTCGGGGCCATGCCGGCGACGTCGGCGAGCTGACGTTCCACCATGGACATCCAGGTCGCGAAGTCGTGGTCCAGCACCTCCGCGGCGATGGGGCTGGGACAGCTCAGATCAGCGATGGCGCCCCAGCCGTCATCGGCATTCTGAGGCAGGCAGCCGCGGGGGAGAGCAGCCTCGGGTTTGGCCGGCGCCGCTAGGGAGCGGACCATGTCGCGCCTCGGCCGGCCCTTGACCCAGATCCGAACTGCGGAGTGGGGTCGCGAGCCAGCGTCGTGGACGAGGGCCACGCCGACAATGGCGCTGAGCAGGCGAGCGTCGACAACGAAGTAGTCATCCTCTGCAGCACCTTTACATGTAGCAAGCCCCGTCGAAACGATGGCGCCACCAGCGAGGCGGAGCCAGCCGGTGCTCTCCAGCACCTTGGGCGGGAAGTTGAAATCGGCCGCCAGGATCCACGGGCCGTGGAGCTGCCGCACGTGCTGGGCGACGCACTGGAGCAGCTCGAGGTTGCGCTGGGAGGCCCCCTCGTTGCACCAGAAATAGGCCGACACAAGGTAGATGCCACCGGCGCAAATGGCGCCCATGCGCGTTACGACGACGCGGGAGCGGCAGGCGTCGCGTGAGACCAAGCCGGCGGCACGACTGAAACCCACGTGCGACCGGACCGCAACCCCGACGCCAGCGCTCAGCGAGCCGGCCTCGGTGGGCACGGCGGGTTCAGCGGAGAACGACCACTTGGCGCGGGCAGCCCGGCGCTGAGCAGCCAGGAGGGGGCCCCCGCAAACGCGGAGCTCCTGAAGAAGAACAACATCGGCCGTCGTGTCCTCGAGGTACGACTGCCCGGTGCTCATGGCGTTGCAGTTCAGCGTATCAATCGCCCAGTAGCCGAACTCGCGGTGGTCGGCGCAGAACTTCGACTCGCCGAGGGTCGCTTGGATGGGGCGCGGGGCCGCTGTCCCCGTGCGCCTTGGCAGGCGCGGTCGCTTCCGCGGCGTGGTCCGCGGCCTCCGTCGGGGCGGAGAGGGAGCGACCTCCGCAGGGATCAGCTCCGCGAGGCAAATCGGAACGCGGCCGGCTGGGCCCCGATCGCTGCTGGAAGGCGCGACGCCCTGGAGGTACGCAAGGCGGTGGTCAAGCTCCTCCGTGGCACCGGGGACGACGACCGTGCCCATGGCAGGCACCTCATCCACGTAGTACCCGAGCCCACGGGAACCACGCTTGAACACCCAGCCGCTGACTGGCCCAGCAAACTTCCAAGCCTCGGTGAAGCCCGCGGCGTGGTCAAGGATGATGCGGGCACGGGGCGCGGCGGCCACCCCACCAGGAACCGGCTCAGGAAGAACCCCGGCCTCGGAGGGGGGGTCTGCTCCGGACTCGGCAGGACCATCCTCCAGCCAGGGATCGCAATCGGCCCAGGATCGATGCGCCGTCGCTGGGTGGTAGGTCAAGGTCCGCCTCGGGGTCATCAAAAGAACACGTGGCGCAAGGTCCAGGGCGAGCGGCCTCGCCAATGCGGACGACGGCCGCGAAAAAGAGGATGAGGCGCAACAGCCTTGTCCTGGCAAGGGCGGTTGCCAGGGGCGCGGTCCGGCAACCCGCCCTCGGCCACGCCCAGAAGCCCCCCGTCAGCCCGGCCAGCAGCCCTGGCGCCATGCCCCGGGGGGCCATCGTCGGCCCCGGCGGCGGCCCCGGTGGCCCTGGCGGCGGCTGCGTGGACGAAATCGTCCGCGCAGAGCGGCGCCCCGGCGGCCCCAGCTGCGGCCCTGGCGCCCCGGGCGGTCCCGGCGGCGGCCCCCGCGGCGGCTGCGTGGACGAATCCGCTCAGACAGGGATGCCCCCGGGCGGCCCCGGCGGCGGCCCTGGCGCCCCAGGCGGCCTCGGCGACAGCCCCAGCGGCGGCTTCGTGGCAGCCGCGTCCCCGGGGGCCTCCGCAGCGCGCCCGGCACCCCCCGGAGCCTCCCTCCTGGCGGGCCGGGGGGGATTTGCGTCAAGATTTTCATTGACACAAACTGGGGCGGGGCCGCGAGCTGCGACGACAGGGGCCTGAATCCCCCCGCTCACGGCCCACTCGAGGCCGCCAGGGGGCCGCAACTGCGTTCCTGGCTGCACCTGAGCCCGTACCAGGCCCGTCGGGCCCAACCGACCCCGTGTCCGAGCCTCTGCCCGCTTCGGCCGCACCCAGCAGCCCCTCGGCAGCCCGCCCAGCGGCCTGGGCGCCATGTGCCGCAGCCTGGCAGGGGCAGCTGCCGGGGGCGCGGCCCGGCAACCCACGCTCGGCCGCGCCCGCCATATCTGCCGCCTACTTCTTGACGAAGGGCGACGCGATGGGGGACACCTTGCCCAGGCTCGTCCGGATCCGCCCGGCCAGGGCATCACGCTCCCTGCGGAGGAGCGTTTTCCGCTCAGCGCGACCGACCTGGCTCCATTTCTCGTCGTCGCCCGCCAGGTCGTCGATGGAGGCGACGTCGTCGGCCACGCTGGGTGCCCCCTCCGAGGCGGCACTGGCGCCCTCAGCGGCCTGAGCGGCCACCCGCGCCTGGAGGTGTGCAAGCTGCTGCTCAAAATGAGCCTCGCGCTCACGCCACTTCTCCTCCGCATACGCGACGGCGACGTAGCCGGTCGGGGCTGCGGCCGGGAGCCGCACGGCGGCCGGCCTTGCAGGTGCGGGCGCGGCTGCACCGGCGGGCGCACGCTCTGAGGCGTACTGGGCCGCCAGGGCGGCGACCTCCGCAGTGGCCTTGGCCGCTGCGGCCTCGGCTTCGGCAACAGCCGCATGCTGCGACTGGATCTTTTGTCCAGCTCCTCGCGCTCAGCCTCCCGAGCCTGCAGAGCCGACTGGGCTTCAGCAAGTTTCTTGGCCATGCGCGTCTTGTGGGCCTCCGCCACCTCCAGCTGCTTGCTGAGAGGATTGGCTGCCCGCCGCGCCGCCTGCGCAGCAGCGAGGTCGTCCTGGAGTTTCGCGATGCAGGCGTCGTAGCCCCCAGCGACCAAGTCGCGCAGCTCCAGCGGCATATTCTGCGCCTTCTTGAGCCGGTCGCGGGCCAAAGCGACTGCCTTGCCCTTCTCATTGTCGCCGTCGTCGTCCATGCCGCCAGGTGCGGGCTCCGCACGATGGTCGCCGGCAGCCCGGTCCTTCCGCAGCTGCTCCAACTCGCCTTTGAGCTTCTGGATGTCCTGGGCATGCTTGCGGTTGGCGGCGTCCAGCTGCTGCCGCAGCTTCGCCTCGCCAGAGGCGCCGGCGGCGGCAGCCTTCGCCCTCGCCTTCGGCTTGGGCTTCGCCCCTGAGGCGCCAGCGGCGCCGCCGTCGTCGAGCACCTTGTAGGGCGCGCCGTTGCCGCACTGGTGGCACTTCGGGTTGTTCGCCCAGTTCGTCGCGAAGCCGCACTTGCTGCAGCCCCAGTACGGCTTCTTGGCGGCGCCTGATGGCGCCATCCCCTCGATGGCAGGCGCCTGCGAGCCGTGGTGCCCGTCGAGCAGGCGCCGCGCGTCCTCCAGGCGGGAGGCGAGCCGGGGGCTCGCCCGCCTGTGCCAGGCGTGTAGCAGGAGCCGGGCCTGCGCGCGGCGCAAGCGCGCCCGGTGGTGCCACGCGGCCTCGGCGGCAGCGGGCGTTATTGCAGCGGGCGCTGGTCTCAGCGCAGGCGGGTTGCGCAGGAGGATCGCAGGCAGGCCTGCGCCCCAACCTCCTGAACACCGGCCTGAGCCGAAACTGAGGATCGAGGATCGAGGGTCGAGGGTCGAGGAGGAGCATCGAGGAGGATCGAGGAGGACAGAGAACTCAAATGGGGCAGATTGGGGAGGAAACCCTGGGTGAGTATCGTTGAACCGATCCCCATCCCCAGCGGCGTGGCCTGGGCCCCACTGGCAGATTTACCCCCCGTGGAGAAATAGGCCGTTCCCTTCGGGTTTCGAGGGGTGCATCCCCAACTGGGGTGGCAATTTGGTGGGGGTCTCGAAGGGGATGGGGATGGGGATCGGTGAAACGAAACCGACTGGGACACCTGGGGCCAGGAGGAACACCCGGGGCCAGGAGGATCGAGGATCGAGGGCCGAGGAGGAGGATCGAGGAGGATCGAGGAGGACAGAGAACTCAAATG